ATGTTATGTGGTGTGTATGATGTGTTTTTTCATATATTTTAGTCTAAAGCCGTTTTATCATTTATTTATAATCTGTTTACTAAAAGTGTAGTTAGAATATTTTTAGTTTTTTTTGTAATATTTTAATATATCATTTTCAAATATATCAAAAAATATTTTTTAAAAATATAAAGGTTTAAACAAGATATGTATGATGAAGATATGAACATGGTCTGTCCATGTTTGAACATACATATTTATTTAGAGTTATTTATGACCATAAATATTATAAGATTTATTTTAACTAAGGGCATTAATTTTAATCTCCAATGAGACAATTCCACTACTTTTTAATGATTTTCTTACAAGTATCAACGATAATATTTTAAGAAAGTCAATCTCAATCATATATATACATGCCTAGCTATGTGAAACTGTGTTAGTTAAACCAATTTTTTTTATCATGGTTATCTCTCCCTGTCTATAGGTTATCCCTGAGCCTGCATACATCGACTTTCCGCACATTTACATTTGCTTTCTAAATTATCCAAAAAAAAATCGGAATCGCGCACAAAGGTTCTAAAAAAATCATGTCTGTTGTATGGAAGCCCAACTTAATTATTTTATTCCTTTCATTGCAATTTTTTGTTTATAACACGATAACATAAGATATATAACGATTCATGAGATACAGCCTGGTGACAGACAGACATACAGACAGCGAATCTTAACAAGTCGAAAAGGGAAAATCGGCAAGCTATTTTCAAAGGATAAAAAAAGCTATAAAGCCGATTTTCTCTTGTTTCTCTTCGTTCTCGGTAGAAAACGTTGCCGATTAGATTTGATTAGTCCCTTGCCATCATCAACACCTGAACCGGCGCTCACGGAGACCGTCAAGAAAAGCCAAGGACCGCAGTTTAAATATTACCGAGGTAGACGAAACGTACACTATAGAGAAAGTGATAAAGTTTAAATAAAACCTACAAGCTTTAATAACAATTACCTAATTATATCACTACATAGTATAAAACAAAGTCGTCCCGCTGTCTGTCTGCCCCTATATACATAGGGAGGGAGACAGCGCTTAGCTAATTAGACTAATTCAAGAGAAAGGTTTATATGTGTAATACAAAATGTGAGAAGCCGGGGTGGCACGCTAGTTTTATATAAATCTGAAAACCTTATTGTGAAACGTCACTCGAATCAAATTTACGAATTTAAGGGGAAAAGTATCCATATTCTGAGTCATCGCATGTAGATACACGTTACGGCCTCGTAAGCCCACTGTTTATTTCAAATAATGAATTCCGGTATAAAAATCATGGTAAAACAAAAACGTGTAGAACGTGTAAAACAAAAACGTGTAGAACGTGTAAACGTTAGATACTTTATAGCACTAGCTGAAGTTATCAGATTATATTACTATGACAACCAAAGCAACTTTTTACATTTACCTAAAATTCCAAGTTTTTTAACTAAACCGCTATCAAATGCATTTAATGTTAAATTACATTTTTAAATTCCCGATTTTTCGAACCCTTTCCAGCGTTTATGGTCATGGGACAGACTGGTAACTTATAACAGTTTCATTTAGCAATGTATTATAAAAGCGTCAAAACAATAAATCCATACGCATTTAACTTATCTTTTACAAACAAAGAGTACTGGCGTTGGGGATGAAAATTTTAGTTATTTCCTTCTCTCTTCTTCTCTTGTTCTTTGCTATGCTAAAGAACAATAGCTAGAAGTATAAAGTGTAGGCTAGTGAAGTAGGTGGCTAGAGGCTGGTTCTCTGGATGACCTCCGCCCATGGACATTTTACAACACCCGTAGGGTTGTACATGCGTTACCTTTTTTATAAAGTGGGCCCTGGTTACATAGTACTACATTCACTTCTTTTTCCTTATTACTCTTCATTTATATACATTCTTCAGTGATAGCAACATGATGCTGCATTATACATATATTCAGACAATCCAAGAAATTATTTTAATAACATCTGGATTTAACAAAACAAAAACAAAAGGATAACAACATAATAGCAATTCTGAAAATAACGAAATGCAAAATTGTTTTAATTCAAAATTCTGATTTCTGTTTTATAAAACTATAATTCTTTTCAGATTTATAATAAGCACTACAAAGCCGTGACAGCTCAGTGTCCGGGTGCTCGCCTTTAATTCAATATACTCGAGCAACCTGAGTTGTATCCCCGGTGCCAGCACAAAAAAAATGGTTAATTTTAAGTGTAGACTTATCACGTGCTCAACGGTGAAAGAATACATAGTGAGGAAACCTCCATAGTTTAGAAATAATAACAAATAAAAATATTCGAAGATATATTGTGAAGTCCGTCAATCCGCAGTGGGACGGCGTGGCGGACTATGCAATGATACCCTCTGTAAAGGAGGAGGCCTATGTCCAGCAGTGGGATGTTGATGGCTGTGACTTTACTTTACTTTTATTTTTAATTTGGACTTTCGAACATTGTGAGTGATTATTAAAAAAAAATTGAAATCCTATTTTGTTTCGAACAACATGTTGCAAAATTTACGAAGTTATCCAACAAATGTATTAAAAGTTAACTATAAAGTCGTTATACATGGCCCCGGGAGTCTAGTAAAATTACATTTAAATAACTTGAAGGGACCGCGGGACTTGAAAATGAAATTAAAAAATAATACCATGTCAAGGGCTTGCTAGAATTGTCGTGGTTGGATTGCTATAAACCACATAATGTGTATACAATTACATTTACTTAATACTTGTAAAATAAACCGGAATAAAATTTTGTATAACGATAAGGCATTATCGTCATACAAAATGCTGCAACATACGAACATGCTGCTAAGCAGTTGGAAAATCTAAAAAGATTATGTACTAATTATTTTTGTATATGTAAAATATTAATATTAAGGTTCTAACTCGTTGACATTTTATCAAACCTTTAACAGTGAAAATCCAAAGAATTAAAAAAAATATTTTTTACTTATTTAGAATGCACTGTATAAGTAAGAAGCCAAAGAGAAGTCTCTATAAGGTTTCACGTTGGTCTTTTTAAAGTACGTTGTAAATCCCAGAGCTAATATTTATATTAGTACTTATGCTATATTTATGAAAAACGCAAATTGTAAAATACTGATTGGAAAAGTGAAATTAAAAAACAACAAAAAAATAAAGATAAAAACTCTAATTAAAAGGATTATGATATAAGTTCATCAAAGCTTAGAATGTTTTTTTTTTTACATTATATTTTAGACCTTAATCTGTCAAGCTAATAGTTTTATCAATTACAAGAATTAATATAAAACATGAATACTTCTATTTAAGCTTTTTGATATTTATTATTATAAATAAGTAATGAACATATTTGTTAGTTTCAATAAATCCATGACGTAATCGCTGTTACAATAGTCTCTCGACACAAACGACGTGCCACAATTCTCTCTATTCAGCTCTGCTGACCCGCTAATATCATCCAAATGTGACAACTTAAGATCACCTCGTTAGTGGGGATTTTGTAGACTGTAACTGCTCTTTAGAGATTTGAGTTATAGGGTTGATTTTAACGGATTAACTTACAATTATGAGTAATTTAAACACATTAATGGTGCAGAGTTTTTAGTATAATTTTGTTGTGTATGAGTTATAAGAGTAGATTTGAGACGAAAGAAGAGTTCATGGTATTTTAGTTTACTACTGGTCATATTTGTTTATTGCAGAAACTTGAATCGAACATAACGAATTCTTTGTAGTTATAACTCTTCTGGTGTATCTTGAGAAAAAAGGGAGTACGAATTTTAATTATTTTTTGTAATCATTTTCTGTTGCTGTCATATTGGGTACGGTTCACAATAAACTCAGAATCACACAAAACCGTGGTGTTGGTCGCTCTGTGCCCAACTTCATGATGTCGCTTTTTGGGTGTCAGTGTGCGTGAGCATCATAAACATTTTATTCTTATATATTTTTTCCAAACGCGCTAAAATAAGTAAAAAATCACCGAGGTTGTTTCTTAGTCAGTCAGGGCTATTAATAAACCTATTTGCAAGTATCTTAACCAACTATGAAAAGCGGCAATGTGCTTACAGATACAAGTTTATAGACCTATCATGTGATCGTTTTCTTTATACCGTAATTATGTATCCGTTAGAGAAGTGATCTTCATCCCTCTCTAATGCTCTGAAATTAATTACGGTTTTAATGACTCCCAATTCCGATGAGGATATTACTGGAATTATAATCAACTGAACGGAGTGCTTTGTGAATTGAACCTTTATGAATTCATTATCAAAATCTATTCTTACCCACTTTTTTTTTTTGCTATTCAATGGTGAAAATTTAAGTGCGACTCAAATTTTTAGGTCGAGCCTGCTTTTAAGTAGGACCAAGGATGAATTTAAATAAGCTTTCAACAACATCGACTTGAGAGTTGCATAAATATTAATGTCTGCGCATTGCAGACTAATGGGAATGGATTATTTAGTAGGCTAATTCTTTGAGAGTAATCTTCCACGCGTAATATGTCTAACATTTAAATATTTTCATTATGTCCACGAACGTAAATTGTTTACATTGAAGGAAAGCGTTTGTGTTTTTCCAGTAACGTCAATATTAGATTTTCCGATCATTATTGACGCCTCCATTAACGCGCTGTCAGTCAAAACGGACCGTCGTTGTTTACATTAAAAGTACTTTTTTCGTTAATTAATCACACTTTTTTCGAATCTCCATTTACTTACTATAAGAAAAAATGTTTTATTTCGGTTTAAAATAATTAAAGGACCATGAGTGTTTCATGAGGACTGAGATATTCGGTGATCTACGTTATCACCTCGTTTCTCTTAAAGATTAATCTTGAAGCGTCCATGCTTGAGTCTAGATTTTATTTTATTAGTCGGCTTCAGATTATATAATTGTAACCATGAACCGGTGATAACTCCAGATAATTTAAATTAAATCCGACCATTTTTTTTTGTTTAATTTCATTCACTATAAAATTCATTTGTCATTTGTTACAGAACTAAATGCTGTTAAAATAGTGAAGCTAGTAGTACCAGAAATAATACAGTACGGTGTCCAGGACGCTGTGATCTTAGACTGTGAGTACACGTATGGAAACAACACTTCCGGATTAGTGGTGAAGTGGTTCTTCAGAAATAAAGCGAGACCGGTCTACCAATGGATTGTGTCACAGAAACCGCAGGATATGGGAATATTGAGAGGCCGCGTTGATTTAACCTACAGGGCATCGAACGATCCATTAAAAATGCACAGAGCACTTCGCATAGTGAAGCCGAATACGGATATTTCTGGTGATTACACGTGTGTCGTTTCAACATTCATGGAAGAAGATTCGAAAACTAAGCAAATGGTTGTTTTTGGTGAGTTATTCTAGTCTTTTTTTACCTTGCCAGTTGTAATTCTTTATATACGGTTAACCTCCCATAACATACCGTGATTGCTACTCATTTTCAATATACGTAAGTACTTCTAATGATGAAATTTTGTCTGAGCTTTCAAGGCACCGAACTCGTTATAATTTCATAAATTTTTCATCACTGCTTATCGCGATAAATTAGGTAATATTAAAATAAACAGTTTATTATATTAAGGGACATCTTTGCAACATTCCTTATTGTAACCCACAATTTTACAAAGTGGAACAAGCTAGATATTTATGCTACCGCAGTATTTAAAAAACAAGAAAAGTTTCGTTTTAAAGAGTGAATAATATAATTTACAGTTCAAGAGAAGCCTTTTTCTTATCTTACAATGTTTTGAATTACTAAAAAAAATTCAAACTGCGTTGATTATAGGTACATACATCTATCGAAAAGAAATTGTAAAAGTTAAAAATGTTTTAAAAATTGCTTGTGCTTTATGTCTAACACTATAATATACCTACTTCTGTTTTTGTGAAATTGTATTCATTCAAACATCTGCTATCCGCATCGCATCTCTTTTTACGCTTAAGGCATTCGTATGGCTTTCGGGGAAATGAAGCAGACTGGCTTATCTTTTCGGATGGCGTGTCCAATCAAGATTGTTTTTGAAATTCGAATCAATATAAATGAGTTTCTCCTGTTATAAATAAAAATAAAATTAATATTTAGGAAAACTATAGGAACCACGAATATCAATATTTTAAAAATTACTACTTGATTCGAAGTTTTGGATACCATATTACCTAATCATATAGGAACATAAACAATATAGCTATTGTATGTATATGTATAACAGCTATAGTTTTAAAATGTTAAGCATAATTATAAGAGGCCATATGTCCTGTTTTTTTTAATCGTATCATTGGCATAAAAGGCGATACGAATTTTGTGACTTGAAGTAGGATATTTAAAACTCAAATTAGAATCTATTGTAGGGTTACTGAAGAATGAAGTGAATAACACATTTCTTGATAAGGGTTTTGCGAAGCCTCGCCATATCGTACTGTACCCCCGATATGGGTAAACAGTTCGTGGTGTAATTTAGCAAATTGTCTGCCTTTGAATTATATAGAGAATACTATTCTATTCATTCGCCCAAATTTCATCCGTTTTTAGTATAGTTAAAACTGTTGTCGGAGATATTAAATAGATACTATGTGCGAATAACTTTTTCATTAGTATGTAGTAAATCGAAATTAAAAATGTATTTATAAAAAATTCAATCTGCTCCGGAAAAAATGCTTGTAATAAAGCTTAATTTTTTATAACGTTCGTAAGCTTACAGTTATATGTTTGCACTTTGTTAGAGAAAATAAAATAGCATAGCATGGTACTAGGTTAAGTTTAAACTTTTTAAGTAAAATTTTTAAAGTAATAATTTGCAATATTTTTAAAACCAGTTATATTTATCTGTATATGTATCAGCAAAAATGTTAATACAGAACGACAACATTTTCCTGCTACAGTTCATGAACTAGTTAAAAATTTTATGTATAATTTTTTTAGTAAACTATGTTCTTTCGTTTAAGTTAGTCTTTGAATTAAATGGTTCAAACAGATTTTTCTCAAGCATAAGGATATATAGACAAAAATAATTAAGAGTCTATCAAACATTGTAGTACCAGCTTAACTAGTGTTGAACTGATATGTAACGTTGGTAGTTGATTCATATTATTTTATTATCTTCAATAGACTTGGATTATATGCTAGATATATGCATAATTAACAATAACCGATCCTGGCTTTCTTACATTTTTAATTTGAATTTTATGTAACACGACATTATTACTATTTTTTATCTCACCAATGAAATACCAATGAAGTTATGATACATTTTTGATTTGGTGAATGTTTGTGTGTTTATCATTGTATTTTTAATATTACCTAAAGTTGACTGAGTCTGAACGTTTCATATACAGTAGGTATTAGTTTCATGCACATTCCATGCATGCACAAACTATACCCATTTGTTATTTCAATTTCCATAGGGGGCCTATAGGCATATAATCTTGATCATATAACAACTTCAGCAGAATTTCGATAAGAGAGAATAGTAATCGATTAGCAACTGTACATACCTATGACAGCGATCAATTAAAATGTTTACATAAAGTAGTTTAAAAGTAAAATATCAAGGGATCTGATAAACGAAACGAATTAAACATAGGTAACTATTATTCGAAGGGAGGCAGACATCCGCAAATACCGCCAAACTATCCAGAGGAAAATCAAAGAGGTTTCCGTTGTGAACGGAAGGCCACTTCCGTGCAGTTGTCAATTAGTTGGTCTGCTCAAAAGACAACCTTGTGGAAAGCTATTTTTGTAAAGCACACAATTCTCTATCTTATCCATAATATATTTGTTTCACAATTCTTTCTACACAATTATTTTAAGTTATAAAGTTACATATTATTGAAGTGTTCAGTTATAAATTATATACTATTTTAAGTGTTACGTTATTCACACGGTTTCAAAATGTGAATTGCTATAAACGGACGTAACATTTGGCAATTATTTATTTGCAATTAAATATGTATGTTACATATCCTGGACAATACGTTTTTCTATTAATCCCGATGAAAGTCATTCAATAGCAATAATAATACTGGAAGTTTGTAAAATACAACAGTAAAAAGCAAAATCGTAGCGGTTATTAAGTCATTTTAATATACACTTTTTACAATGTTTATATTAAAGTAATCTGATAGTTTAATAAAATTACTCTGTACCCAGGTGTTTTCATGGTAAATAATTTTAATTTGCGTATATGCATATTATCTTTAACTAATATTTGTTTACTTGACAGAGTGTTATTTTAAGTTGTAAAACCGTATAGCTGTGGAAACTTAATACCGGTCTTACAGAGCAGCTGGGCATCTTAGCACGCGCGGAGATCGTTACAGTTCATTAACCTCACCTGCCCCCGTTACGCCTTACGAAATATCCTTATAAGTGTCACGTTTCAGTGCCGGAGACGAACTTCCGTCTGATTCAAAACAAGACTGACGATGACACTGTGAACGTCATATGTGCTGCGGACGGAGCGTTTCCTGCTCCGAACCTCACACTTGCAACACCCGAAAGGTAAGAGTTTGACAAAAAATCGCACTTAAGATTGAACATTAAAACATGCAGAAAAAGTACGAAAAAATTGTCGCCGCTGTGGGAATCGAACCCATCGACGAATGAGATGCGCCAAGCATTGCTTCAAATGCTAAATAACAATGTAGAAAGAAGGCGTTAAGATTTTCGTCGCTGTGGCTATCAGTCGTTTAGCTCAGTGGCTAGAGTGTCAGGCCGCGAATACCGAAGACGTGGGTTCGATTCCCACAGCGGCGACAATCTTTTCGTACTTTTTCTGCATGTTTTAATGTTCAATCTTAAGTGCAGAGATTAGCACTATAAAAAACTTTAAAAAAGTCCGAACCTATAATTTATTTTCAATGTGTTGTACTATTAAGAGGACGTTCTACATATTTAACTTTGGTTGGGAGGGCATACTATGCTTGTTCAAAATGTACCGTTGTTTTGAACTCGCTTAATACTTCCAATGTAGTTTTATCGGCAACATCGTGAATATTAAGCGTTTTTTTTTTCATTTTCAGTTAACGCCTATATTTAAACAACACAGCGTGACTTCCCTATATTTGTATAGCACACAGTTTTCGGATCGAAAAACTCGTGTACTTTTTGTGAATATTTTTCGTTGCTAACAATGGGGGCTCACTTTTTGTGGTGCTATTTAGTATAGCCTAACACTGTTAAGAAAGTTAACATTAAAATTAACTTCGATCGATTCGAGTAAGCGGCGACTGTATTAAGTCAAGAAATGTGAATATTGAGAAATATTTATATAATATTCTACTTGTGACTATTAGCCCATGAAATGCTATAAATTATGAAGTATTTACTAAAATTGTAATATCGTAGAAATGTCATTAATGTTTAACCAATAATTTATGTTATTGTAGGATATGTTAAAAAGAATAAATTCTTCATAAGAATGTACTGCTTTCGAGGCGATAACAATCAAAACATAAAATGCAAAAAAAACCGCCATGCCTCTGTTTAAAAAAGATAATTTAAAGTAATGTTTTCCACACAAAAAATACTGCGTATGAAATATCAAGCCTCATTTTTCTTCTGCCAAACCTAATATCCCTTAAACTAAAACGGATTTTTGGCAACATTTCTGCAGCTCACGATTAAATCCGATTTAAAGCTGCCACCTGGTGCACCTTCGACTTTCTTCCTTAAAAATTTCATTTTAGTCTCTTTTTTGTACAAGAATAAATGTAAACAGCCTTAAATTAATTTTGTCGTTTTATAATATTTATTTTAGGTGTATAATTCACGTCATAAAAGGAGTAGGTGAGCATAAATAATGCAATTAATGTAAATAATGCAAGAAAGGAATTGGCAAAGTAGCTTGAGTCTAGTTTAATTCATTAAGAGCTTAATTTAGGATTTTTCTAAAGCTGTAAAGAAGAAAATCAAATTCGTTCAAAACTTGAGCGAAGAAGGTACTTCAAGAACACAATAACGCAATATGAGAATATTAAGCGTAATATGCGAATTTTGTAAGAAAAATTTGATTTAATTTTTAAAGCAAGGTAAAATAAGTCTTCCGAAAAAAGTGCATAAGCAGTAAACTCATATTTGAATGTATTGCTTTTTAATTAGGAAGTACCCATTTGATTTTCATATTAATTTATTAAAGTGGAAATGGGAATACGCAAAGATTAATAAATTGTGCCAAGTATTAACAGTAAAAAATTTAACAGTTCGACAATACTATATGTATTATACTATATATTACTATATGTTCCAAAATACGTTTAAATTTTTATCATGACGATTAGTCAAAGTCGTACTACAAAGCACGGTAGGCTGTAGAGCTACTACAGGTTAAAGGAGCTTAAGGCTACTATGACGCTATGTATACCGTGGTCGCCCAGTGTTCAAAATTCGAACATAATTAATTATACATAGTGTATAATGTTTTTTTTTTTTTAATTGATTTAATGTATTTTTATGCATAATTTAAAAATATATATTAGCATTCTGCACTCCTTCTCTATGTAAGTGTGGGAAGTTTGATACTCCTCTGTAAAAAGGGGTACAAAGTTCTTGCTTCACGTATTAACATATAGATAATGAAGCCTCGTTGCCTTTAAATGGCCTATCGTTGGTACAATTCTGACATCGGTAAGCCGGTTAAGGAAATGCAGGATAATATAATTCATGATATTCAAAATCATCATCATCATCACCAGCCGCAAGATGCCCATTGTTGAATATAGGCCTCCCAGAAGAACGCGACAACGGATGACACCTTGTCATTTGCATCCATTGGTTGCCCGAGAATCTTACGATGTCGTCGGTCCACCTAGAGGAAGGCCCTCCAACGCTACGTTTCCGATTCGTGGTCGCCACTCGAGAACTTTTACTCCCCATCAGTCTTCGAGCGTTGTGGCCTCCCCACTGCCACTTCAACTTGCATATCCGGTGAGCTATATCGGTGACTCTGGTTCTTAGGCGAATGTCCTCGTTCCAGATTTTGTCGTGCAAAGAAAATCCCAGCATAGCTCTCTCCATAGCTCGTTGTGTGACAGTAAGCTTCTCCAAAAGGCCAGCTTATAGAGACCACGTCTCAGTGCCAAAAGTCAGCGCGTTACTTAGGTCACTGAGCATAGTATTAAGGTCCTCCAGCGACTCTGCCATTATGACTATACCTTATTTTCACACTTGAATAATTCTGAAGCTTCGCGGCGACCAGCACCGGCTCTTAACTGGGCAGCGAGACTTAAACCTGGAAGCTGAATCCATGTATATATATCTGAGACTACAAAAACATTAAAATATACGAATTATTGCGGTACTCCCCGGGTTTTATTACAAAATTGGACTCAGCTCAAAAATATACTGAAACACAAAACTTGTTCCTACAATCGGAGTATTATATTTTTTATACACTCGTATTGGGTCTTAGGGCCAACATTTGGCATTTTAAGTAACAAAAGGTAGAAATAAGGAAACTCAAAATTTATTTCCTCGTAAATTCTGTGCCGAAGTACAGTTATAAAGTGACAAAATTACTTCAAGATTTTATTTAAACGTTTATGTCTAATTAGGGCGAGCGAAGCGAGACCTAACACTATCCCACAACCTGAGCATTTTTGTGATATACTTTACTGAAAAACTATCATGCCTATAGATTTGTTCTTTAATATAGTAATTTAACTTCATATATGTATGTGTTATCTGTAAAAAAAATATAATTTCAAAACCATAAAAAATATGAAAATTAACAATTTTTTGGTATAGATAGAATATTATTGTACTACTAACGCCTGTTAGAACACTAAAGAGTTAACATCGATAGATGCAACAGAACTAAACTCAATACTCAAATACATCGTAGTTAATCTACTTAAAAATGTGTTGAAAATATTTTCTATTGAAAATTCCGTTCCTAGACCGCCATCTGATATTTAAAAAAAGTTAACATTTCTTTAAGAACAATTAATTGCTCAAGCTCACCAGGTTATTACATAGTGTAAATCGATTTTAATCGTCATCGTTTTCATCGATTTAAACCCTTCGACCGAGTTTCTGCCTTGCCGTGGCGGAGGGTCTTAGTAGCCGCGGCTTGGTCAATGTAGTAGCCTTTTTTTAGAGCACTGGCACTAGGTGCATATCGACAGGGTCACGGGAACGCTTTCGCAACACTTCCGCGACCCTGCCAGCGCTGGCTGCCTCAGCAGCCCCACCCGGGGAGCAACTCCCCTCTCCTCTACTGGCGCGCTGGGGACATTCTGCGCGCCTGCCGACTCGGCCCCATTTTCACGGCGAGCGAACACCCTCGAGTTCGCTGTACGGGGCCATGGGAACCAGGAGAGTCAGTGCTAATAAGCAGCAAGCCTCCCAGCACCCAGCGGCGGATCTGGTCTGTGGCTCCGGCGCTCACCACATTTCGGCTGCGGAGGGTAGGGAGAACGGCGCACCGCAATACCGACACTCCTCTTCCCACGCAACCCCTCTTCGGTAGCAGAATACAAGGAGAGTGGTTCCTCCTCCATCACCCTCGACCTGTCGTCCCCTGCACCCTCTATGCGTCCCATGCATCAAGAGAAGGCTCAATGAGCCCAATGAGCCCTCTCGGGCCGGTCTTACACCACAGGCCGGCCCAGTGTAGGTTCCACTTAGCTTCGCGCTGGGTGACCAAGCCCCTCCGACCGGGCCTCCGCCTCCGCGGGGTTTAGTAGCGTGGCTTGCTGATGCAAGGCCGGGCCGACAGGGCCACTTCGAGTGGGCTCATTGACCCCACTCTGGAGGCGTGCTAGAGGGTGCAGGGGACAGGTCGAGGGTGATGGAGGAGGAACCACTCTCCTTGTATTCTGCTACCGAAGAGGGGTTGCGGGGGAGAATAGTGTCGTTATTGCGGTGCACCGTTCTCCCTATCTTCCGCGGCCGAAATATGGCAAGCAGTGGAGCCACAGAGCAGGTCCGCCGCTGGGGGATGGGAGGCTCGCTGCTTGCTGGCTCTTCTGGCTCTCCTGACAGCCGAGTAGGAAGGCGCGCTGAATGTTCCAGCGTGCCTTCCTACTGCCGATACGTGCCTACATGGAACATCGTTGGGGTTTTAGTCGGTGCTAGACCGACATAACCCGCCCTTGCCCCCGTGAGGGCAGGTATGCGTAGGCATTTGTTCCAGGTTAACAAAAAAAAGTACATCGACTTAAAGGTGGTCAATTTGATTGAATATAATTGCTAAGTCATCAATTTGCATCCAGAAAATGATAATTTAATTTTCAAAGTGAAAATACCAATTAATAACCTAATGTCACAGAATTAATATAAGTACTAAACAATGTTTGATAAATTAAAAAATATCTAAAATGATTGGTCGTATTAATCATTTACTTCGGTAAATATGATATGGGCCCGAAGTTCATATCACAAATAATAATTTAAAAAAAAATGTTTTATAAATTATTACCATTTAGAAAAATTACGCGAGCCCTCACAAAGTTCAGCTTTTTGCTAGTTTAACTAATTGTGTAAGTATACTTTTGTCTTTGTTAAAATACCAATTTTGTTAAAGGCGATTAGATGGTGTTTTCCACGACGTCAAACTATTAAATGGAAGATACTCGGCAATGGCATCGGTCACACTGCTTGACGCGGACCTGCCTTCTCCTGCTGAGTTCATCTGCACCTTGAGAATACCGTTAGCAAACTACGCTGTGAGAAAGGAAGCAATATATTATCCAGGTGAGAAATTGTACCTTGACCGTTTATATTAATTACTCTTTAAACAGCAATGTAGTAGGTACTGATTTTCGTAATTATTACTAATTAATGACATAACAAAAACCATTTGAGGATTGATTTTTTTTCTTCATATATGTTTATCGAAGTAATTTTGTAAATTTATCGAAATGATTTTATCGTGGTTTCGATTCCCAAACGTAACAAGTATTTGTGTGAGCCACAGATACTTGTTCCGAATCTGGGTGTTTGTTTCCTAAGGAGAACTGCCGTCAAGCAGGCGGCTGGTCGTAAAAACATAACCAAAATAGCTTCCAACTTGATATACATGTTGTGCCGACCCCACCTAGCTGTGGGATAAGAGCAGAAGGATGATGACGATGGTGATGGTAGATGTAAACGTGAAATATTGTAGATATCGTAGAAAAGTTCCTTAAAGGTACCCGTAACCAAAGTGGGTGTATGGGCGCAAAGCAAGGATTGTGAAAAGTGGACGTTTGGTTGATAAAATGCTTAAGTGTTTATGTATGTGTGTTTCCTAAAACATGTCGGTATGTAAAAGCGCGTATCACTTATTTGACCTTAACTATTAACTATTCTTATTTTATACAACGAGATCTGTATAGATCCGGAAAGTCCTCCAAGGCCAACAGTGGTTGATTCATCCAAAAAAAAAAAAAAAAACAACAAACTTAGTTGTGTATCACTTTTCCGAGAAACAATTGTACAGACTTTTTTAACATGTAATAATGTTCTTTTTAATGGAAATGTTAGGTTTAAATTAAGAAATATCAACAAAGTGCTGTTTATTTATTTAGAATAAGCAATTTAATCGCTAAAAATTCGAAGAGCGTCATTAAATCGGTGTAGCGGTGAAAGGAGGCGGGGAAATGTACATTTTTTTGCGGAAGGCTCGAAAATAACAATTTCGCAGAATAATTTGCGAAGGCCATTTAAGCTTTTTATCAACGGAAGGTTCGTGTACACAGCTATCTAAACTGGCGGAGAGAGATGAAACATTTCCTGCAGCATTCGCCGTGAATAATTTTATGCCCCGTTAACTTCATTTTATGCGAGAAAAAAATCCTCTAATAGAAAATTAGTGGGTGAGGGAAAACACAAACACTTTTCACAGCGTCCGCTTCTAGTCTTAATGAAAAGTCAACAAGGAGGCAAGTCGACCGGAATTTCAAATGAAAAATAATACTCGCTAATTCTTAATGTCAGAAGATTCATATTGTGTATAAAGTTTTGTTAGCTGCTGAAATTAAAATGCTCCCTTTCAGTATTCTTTCACTATTCAGAACATAGAAACGTTATTTACTTAGCTTTATTTTAATTATTACATCATTTTCTTTTTGCTGTTTTTACGCCAATTAAATTGTGCCCTGACTTTACCTACTGCGACAGTTATTTATATTTACATACCTCTTGCTTTGTAATTTTATATTCCATAACAAGTAATATAACAAGCTTTTGATCTTTTTTTCGCCTCGATTTATCAATCTTTTAATAATGTTTTCAAAATTATTTTTTTTTACACAGGTCCTATAAGTACTACTCCGGAGATGCCAACTGCAGCAGATATGCAGTTGGCGGCAGCTGTGGGATCCAAAGGTAAGAAAAGTCATCTAGGTAGAGAACTAAGACAATTTTACAACACATTTAAAACTAAATGTGTTAGCATAGAAAAGATAATTACAGCTACTTCCTTTAATCAAACTTATCACTAGCCGATGGAACGCACGAGTCACACAAATGTCACACTTGTTTTAAGTCTAATACATTATCTTAAGTTTTTCCAGAGGGACTTTTAAATACTTTGCTTGAAGTAAAGTGATAGGATTTGACATTCCATACAGTTACAGTTTCATTTTAATTTGTTAATATTCAAAGGATTTTTCAATGTTTTAACATAAATGTTTTGCTATAACAACAAGTACTAAAAAACAAAATAAAAATATCCATTACATATACAACATACATGACTTTAATGTTGTTTTTATAGGTAATGGTACGAAACCCTTCGTACGTGAGTCTGTCTCGCACTTGGCCGATTTTTTCTTTATTTTAGTCTAAGTGTCTAAAATGCCATGTCACAATACACATGACGTTAAACTATATTATTCGCAAGAAACGGTGATAAGACAATACTACAAACAGATAACAAGACAAGACTAACAACAGACAACAAAAGATAATAATGGTTTATTATTTTTGACAGTAAATAAAAGATGCCTTATAATAGTATTGATATCATTTAATAAGTATTTTTCATCCTTCAGGAGCAAACAGATGCACCGCAATAGCATTAGTTTTGCTACCAGCTTTGGCTCAATCATTATTGTAAATCGAGCGAGAAGGTACTGGACATCGCTGAAAAGGTGAGTTATTTATTTCGCCTTTAAAGTAAAAGTAAAGTAACAGCCTATACATGTCCCACTGCTGGGCAAAGGCCTCCTCTATACAGAGGGTATCAGGGCATAGTCCACCATGCGGCCCCACTGCGGATTGGCGGACTTCACATATCTTCGAAAAATATTTTTTGTTATTATTTCGAAAATATGCAGGTTTCCTCACGATGTTTTCCTTTACCGCGAATCACGTGATAAGCCCCTTTAAAATAACTAATCGCAATATGTACAATACTCAGTGATAAATATTGCACATTAGCCTTTGGAAAGAGACAATCAAATAATTTTGGTCCAAAGTTCATTGTGCAGTATTTATCACCGAGTAATATCAATAACATATAAAAACAGTCACCTTAAACTTTAAAAATTTTGATATTATCTTCACTCGTCTCAATTTATAAAATTATTGTTCGCCGTCTATTTTAAATTAAATCGGCCGATTTACCATAGACGAGTTGTAAGAATAATCAAATAATATGTAATTATTTGGGAATGAAAACAATAGCTAAATTAGGCAAGTATTACAAGGCTTGACAAAATTAATTATGTGAAAGAGTTCGCATCAGCTTCTGAAATTGTACGCATGAAACCACTCACAGAAAACAACAGCTTTTCAGAAGACCGTCCCTGAGAAATCTTGTATCTTGTATTAACTGATGTTTTTGCTTTTATTCCCGAGACTATTAAAGCTTCATCGGACGCAGAACCGGTGGGTTAGCCAGAACCCATGGGTTTGGGCCCTCCGCTATGGGTAGGGTCGCGAGTGTGATCATGCGTGCCTTTAACTATGGTGTGTCATCTAAGGGCCGTCGAGGTCGCGGCTCGGACCGAGACCCCGATGGCCGTCGACTGTGCAATTAGCTAATCGGTGGCTGGGAGCGGTGAGAACCGCCCGGAACGCGGGTGTACCTTATGTACGCGTTGTGTGGGTCTCCCCGTGCTCGGTGGCAAGGGCGAACTGGTGTGATTGTTGTTACACTATGGATGTAGTGTTATCCGGCGGGACACCCGGCGGTGGGTCCATTGTATCTAAGTCCTCTTAGTCGACCGGGTCGATGAGGACGTTTCGCGGGCGACGCTTGTTGACGTTCGCGTTAGTGTCGAGTTGGTAATTTATTGCGCTTGCCACCAGAGGGCAGGGATGATGCTGGGCTCTATCGAAGAACCGTTCGGTCAAATCTTTAAAATATGCGTGAATCGTCCGGAGTCTGCAATCGCTGTGCACGTCGACGTTGTGCTGATACCATTGCGCACCGGTTGCGCGGCGGATAAACTTATTTTGGACTACTTGCAATTTATTAATCCGCGTAGGGTTTGTATGTTCGAAGATCATGCATGCGTAGGACATGATTGGCCTTACGCAAGCTTTATATAACAGTAATTTGTGCCTTAAGGGCATTTTACTTTTATTATTCGTTAAATTGTGTAGCCGGCCGGAGACGAACGCGGCTCTATTACGGACTTGATTGATGTGCGTAGTGAAAGTCATACGCGAGTCGAATGTGACTCCTAAATATTTAACTGTTTTCTCAAAGGGGAGCGTTTGGCCATAAAGTGATATTTGCCCCAACTTTCTGTACTGGCGAGGACCTTTGTAACGGGTTGGGGGTGCTACGCGGGAAGTAAATCGCAACACTTTTTTCTGGATTTATATCTATTCTCCATTTGCGGAACCAATCGCCGAGGCGGTCGGCGGCACTTTGGAGTCAAGTTGTTAATTGACTAAGTTCGCGGTCTGAATAAAAGAGTGCCGTGTCATCCGCGAAAAGCGCGAGATTGATGTGGGGGTCTTTAGGTATGTCGCTCGTGAGAGAGAAAGGGAAGCAACTGCCACCTTGGAAATTCGCCGCCGGAGACCAGGGCGCAGGAGGCTGGCCTACGCGCGCAACCTTCCCCCCTGATACTGAGACCCTGAGCGGCAGATATGGGGGTGTCTGTCGCTCAATATGGGTCTCGTGACGTGTGCTGTGCCAATTGCACCGGCACAGCACGATGCAGTAGAGGAGGCCTAAAAAGGCCATAGTCACGCCGGGGTCGCGGAAGATTGCGTCCACGTGTTCCCCCGTCCCGTGTCCCCGGCCGATGTGACACAGACAGGTGCAACTTGGGTTTTTAGTGGGTACCCGGTTCTCACCGGAACTCCCACATACCCCTGCCACTCCCCCGATCCAGTGGCAGGGGATCCATAAAGGATTTTTCCGTCGGGAAAAAAAAGGTATGTCGCTCGTGTAGAGCGTAAAAAGCAAAGGTGAGAGGCAGGAGCTTTGTGGTACGCCGAGTGTCTAGCTCGAAAGCCGAATTGTTCCGTCGGCAGAAGGCCGTTGGAAAATACGTGCTCTTTGAGCCTGTTTAATAAAAGCCGCTCGTAGAGCTTCCCCAGGCAACTAAGGAGGCTGATGGGACGATAGCTAGAGGGCTGATTGGCTGGTTCTTTCGGCTTGCGAATGCCGATAACCGTGGCTTGTTTCCAATCGTCCAGAAAGGAGCAACTGGAGAGTAGAGTATTGAAAATAGTCGCCAATAAATAGATAAGCGGTCCAGGGAGAGCTTGAGAATTTTGTATATGAGTCCGGGGCGGATTTCGGTTTTAAATTTTTAATAATATCTTGGACCTCTTCGGGGGTTACTGAACTTAAAGGTTCGCCTTCCGGTGGAAGCGCAGCCCTCTCGATTACGCGGTCCACCTCTGTTAGGTGAGCTGTATCGGTGTGTTCGCGCGATGGCGTACATTGCTGCTCTAGGTTTTCCGCAAGGCATTCGTCTTTTTCTGAGTCATCTAGGGCTACTGAAGCTCTATTAGGTCTAACTAACGGCGGGAGAGATTCGCGCGGGTCTGATTTTAGACTGCGGGCCAACCGCCCGCCACTAGGCGGTGTCCGATGGCTCGATGTCCTCTAGGAGAGTGTCCCACGTGGTCTGTCGGTGTTCCGATACACGATCTTTGACTTCTAGCTGAAGGCGTCGAATTACGAGTAGGGTTCGGTTCGATTCCGATCGGCATCGGTCGAAAGCGCGTTTGGCTGCATTTTATTGTCTAATTAGTAGTCGCAGGTCGGGTGGAAAGTTAAACCGTCGGTCGCCCGACAGTTTCACCGTCCGTTCCGAGTCTGCGACTGCGGAAGTAATGGTTTCTCGGAGACTTGCTATCGCTCGATTTGCGTCATCGAACGTAGCTATCGTCTCGGGTAGGTCGACTAAGTCCTGGGGTCCAAGGCCTTGAGTTTGACCTCAAGACGATGCCAGTCCACTACGGATTTGGTCGGAGGGACCGCACCGGTGTTCTGGCCCAGTTTACACAGGACGGGCCTGTGATCTGAATCTAGTTCATGGATTGTCTCTATCGACTCAATGGTGAGGCGTGTTTCTAGTTGTCCACCGTAGGATACCTAGTGGGAGTCGCAGGAGCAACTATGCTAAAGTTTAAGTTATCGGATAAGCTAAAAAGATGCTTTGCATTGTTATTTGGGATGCTGTGAATGTCCCATGGGACATTCACAGCATAGCACACGGCTCATGAGCCGTGTTTGCAGTTTAGATCTCCTGAAATTATCAGGGAAGGGCCTAAGTTAAGTAGCGTATCTAGGTTGCTTTGTAGTAAGGTTTTGTTCCCCGAGAGGTAGGCTGAGACTAGTACAAGCGGCCTGTGGCCGGTGAGCGCTAACCTACACGCGGATGCCTCTATTTGGCTTAGCTCTGGAATGTTGAGCGGGTAACAGTGCAAGGACCGTTTATAGTAAATTAATGTGCCTCATTGCCGAGGACAATTTCGTTATCAAATATTTCAGTGGTGGGTAAATTAACTTGTTTTTGTTTCAGACACCATCGACACATCTATTGCACTAAAAGAAATTTTACGTGGCATCACCGAAGTTACATCTAGTCATAATACTACGATTAATGAAGATTGAATTCAAACTTTGTCAAGTGAAATGACAATCATCATCGCTTTTTGTGTACCTACGTCTTAATACAAGGAACAATAAATGTACATTGAGTACTAAATTACCAAAGTATAGTAATCTAAATGTACAGCTCTGTTATGAAGTTAAAATTTTCGGGACATTTTTTCTTGATGTGGAATACATAGTACATTAAAACTGTAAATATCGTCCTTTATATTTAATATGATGTACAGGCAATGTTGGCAAAGTAGTAAAATTTGACCTAAGATTAAATTATTTTTAAATAAAACTGTTTGAACTAAGATTATAAAATAAACTTTTCTGTTGTAACTGAAATGAAAAATGCCCTTAATGTTGCTTTTTATTAAACGGTTTTATTTAGCTCGACCCGTACGGAATTTGTTTGTTTATTTATTTGGGTCAAAATTAGAAATTGAAATTTAAGCACCTTGCCGTTGTCAGATTGATCTGAAATTTGGTACACACATTTAATTTAGATGACAATACAATATTAACAAAAAAAATTTAACAAAAAAAAATATAAAATAAAACCGTTTAACTTAAAAGTTTTTTAAAGTAATTATTATTTTACTAATGGAACATTTTGTTTATCTTTTGAAATAGTTATTTATCACGATATTTGTTTCTTAATTCGTATCGTATAAATATTTTATTTGGTTACAATATAGGAACATACTAATTGTACTTAACAGAGGTTTTGTAAAATAAATTTGATATAAGAGGCTTACTTCTTTATAATGGTTCTGTTTTGCTTGAATGAAATGTTTAAAATGTTTATTGTCAAAAAACGTATGTAATCTGTACAAAATCTTAAGTGTTGTCTTTTATTATTTCATAAGGGATACTCCCTATATTAACAGGGTATCGCATTTTATTTATTTCTACTTTCGTATCATGGTTCTATATGAATTTATTGACAATATTATAGTAATCTATATTTAGGAAAGATTTGCCCTTATTCTGCGACTTTTATTATGGCTGTATTATAAATTTACGCATCGCACTCCCGT